AGAAAAAAAAAAAAAGCTTGCAAGTGGCCATCTAAGATACAACAATTGATCTCTCCTCATCCAGAGGAAAGAAGAGTGAAGAATATCAAAGACACATGGAAACAATGAGTTCAGGGGGCTAGTGGCGCCTACATGATGACCCTGCAACAAGAACTCAATGGTGTCCGGCTTCCACTGCCAACCACGCAGAACGGGATCAAAATTAGAGATCCTAGATAGAGTGGGAGAAAAATGTGGAACAAAACTCAAAATCATAAAAAAAAAAAAAATCCAGGTTTATTGATCTGATGAAAATGGGTGAAATCCCTGAGAGTATGGCCTTAGTCACCCTTCAGGCCTGGAACTAAACTCACTCCTGTGGCTTAACTACCAGACAAAGGTCAGACAGGCAAAATGTATATGAACTGTTGAGTGGAATACAAATACTCTCTGTACACTTTCACACAAATCATGATTTTAAAAAAAGAAGAAGATGGCTTGCTCTCGTCCTGCGTTTGGTTCGTGATCTTCTAACCTCAGAACTTGAGACAGCAGCCAGTCATCTGACCCACCGATTCAGGTTCACAAGCTCCTGAAACCATGGGAATGGAGTGGATCCTCCAGACTTACCCACGGACTTGGGACTTCCCAGCCTCCCAACCTCCATCACCATATCCATTCTCTTCACTGTCATCAGGAAATCCATCTAAAAACAACTATCACCATGTTCCCATCCTGGCTGAAGACTCTCCAGTGGCTCTTTGCAGTTAAAAGGCAAAGCCCTGACTTTCGGTATGCAGAGAAGAGTGAAGAAAATCAAAGGCACCTGGAAACAATTAGTCCAAAGATAAGATGGACCAAAAGAACCCCAGCCTTCACGAACCTGAGACTAGAAGAACTAGACGGTGCCCAGCCACCTATGCCACCTGCTCAGAAAGGTTTCAAAACTCTAGATCCTCTAGGGTGGGAGGAAAAATGCATAACAAAATTCAAAAACACAAAAATGACCAGAATTATTGGCCTGAAAGAGACTGATGGAACCCCTGAGACTATGGTCTTGGCTTACCCTTTGGGCCTAGATATGGACTCACTTCCATGGATTGGTTCTCAGCCCAACAGTAGAAAGACCTATATGCATAAAACTACTCCAGGACAATGCATCCACCTATTCTCGAGACAGGCACCCCTTGGACCAATCGGCCATGAGACACCAGAGGGGTAGCATTCACATAGAGGTTAAGCTGACTGACAGGAGTGCACGGATAAGAAGGACACAGGGAGGAGGTAATCACAGGGAGAAGAGGGGAGGAGAGTTTTTTTATGGTTGGGGATGGGAATCGGGCATGAAATCAGATGTGCATAAATGTTGAATGTAAAGCAAGTTTGCTTAAATAAATAAATTAATTAATTAAATAAAAATAAAAGAAAGGAAATAAACATTTATTAAGGTCTTATTATGTGACAAGTGTTATCACATGAATCACTTATTTACTTAACAAATAATGAATAAGGGAGACTGAAGAAGAGTTGATGATTTTGAGCTGTGGTGGTGGCGAAGAATGCTGAAAATACCATGGACTGCCAAAAGAACTAAGAGATCTGTTCTGGAAGAAGGACAGCGGGAATGCTCCTTGGAAGCAAGAATGACCAGACCTGGAGTCATCTACTTTGGTCTTGTCAGAAGAGACTGTTCCCTGGAGAAGGATATCATGCTTGGTAAAGTAGAGTATCAGCAAAAAAAAGGAAGACCCTCAAGGAGATGGATTGATACAGTGGTTGCAACTATGGGCTCAGGTATAGCAACTATTGAAGCTGGCACAGGACTGGGCAGTGTTTCATTCTGTTGTATATAGGGTCACTATGAGTTGGGGCCGACACCTAACAACAATACATGCACAACCCAATGAAAAAAATGGAGGATACATAGATGATGAAGATATGGTCTACTGAGAGAGGCAGATAGTGTCTAAGAATAAAGAGCATTATAAGTGATAGTATAATAAAGCTTAATAACCCTGAAAAAAAAAAAAAAAGAAGAAGATGATGATGATGAAGGGGTTACTGCACATCCAAGGACCTCTGCTATTGTACATGTGAAATGCTACCACAGGACTGTCTCTCCTTTAACTGTTTACCACCTGCACTAAAGCCCTCTGGGGAACTTCCTGCATCACAGAGAGTCCTGGTGAGTCACTCCTAGAAGCATGTCAGCCCTCATGCCTTTTTTGATATGCGTTTCTCTAGTTTGGTACCCCACACAAGCCCAGAGCCCCCAATCCCTGTGTACACAGGGGCCATATCAGGTGTCCCACCCAAGGATAGTTAGGATGAGATAGGATGAAGATGTATGAATTTCTTGTCCAAACAATACAGCACCCACCCACACAGCTGATAAAGGAGACCCTATTGGCAGACATACAGACTTTCTTCCATAACTTTATGTTCTGGAGCCAAATATACGTTAGGATGGGTCAACAAAACCCCAAAATACATTCAGTTTTACAAAGTGAGCAACATGCCATAGAAATAAAACACTAAACTGGCATTAATAAGAGTTGTCTAGACTCCAAACAACAAGGAAGGGAGAATTGTTGTGCCTCCTGCTGGGACAACATACAATACAGAGATATAAAAGCCCCAACACCCCAGAGTTACTCACATACTCACTCACTCATTCACTTATTCACACCCTCCACCCAGCTCACCTCCTCCCACCCACACTGTGGCTGACACCTGCTACTTGAGGACCTGTGTTCCAGCTCCATCCACCATGTCCATCTGCTCTAGTGATAGGAGCTATGGCAGCCGCATCTGCCTGCCCAGTGCTTGCACTGACTCTTCCTGGCAGGTGGATGACAGCCCTGAGAGCTACTGTGAGCCCTCCTGCTGTGCCCCCACTTCCTGCCAGTCCTCCTGCTGTGCCCCCACCTGCTTAACCCTCATCTGCACCCCCGTGAGCTGTGCATCCAGTCCCTGCTACCAAACAGCCTGTGGATCCAGCTCCTGTGAACCCTCCTGCTGCCAGCAGTCTAGCTGTCAACCCACATGCTGCACATCCTCCCCCTGCCAGCAGGCCTGCTGCACACCTGTCTGCTGCAAGCCCATCTGTTGCAAGCCTGTTTGCTGTGAACCTGTCTGCTGCAAGCCCATCTGTTGCAAGCCTGTCTGCTCCAAGTTTGTCTGCTGCAAGCCTGTCTGCTGCGAGCCCGTCTGCTGCGGAACCACCCCCTGCCCATCATCCTCATGCTGCCAGCCCCCTGTCTGCATCCCCTCCTGCTGCAGACCATCATCCTGTGTGTCCCTCATCTGCCAACCTGTGTGCAAACCAGCCTGCTGCGTGCCTGCCCCCTCATGCTGTGCACCTACCTCCTCCTGCGTGTCCTTGATCTGCCGCCCCGTGTGTCCCCGCCCAGCCTGCTGTGGTATCTCATCTGGTCAGAAGTCTTGCTCCTGAGTTGGTGTTCCTCTCTGTGCTCCTACCTTTGCCCCCTTCTACTGAAGACCTTCGTCTTCCATGTCCTTCTGCTGCCCTGTGTGCAAGCCTGCCTGCTGTGTGCCCGCCTCCTCCTGCTCTGCTCCCATCCCCTACTGCCAGCCTACATGCCTACTCACAGACTCTTGTGTGTCCCTTGTCTGCTGGCCCTTGTGCTCCCTTCTACTTGCTGTGGCCCCTGGTCTGGCCAGAAGTCTTGCTGCTTAGTTGGTGCCCTTAACCACTCAGGGCAAGCTGGACTCCAGGGTCCCTCAGCAAAGGAGCTGAACTCACAGATATGAGGATTTAGCTTTCTTGAGAGTTTAAACCCCCAGGAAGTACACCCACTGGCTTTTTCCTCTGTGACACTAAGAATGCAAGTGATGTCCCTTGTTTCTCAGGGTAGTTCTTGTATGTTGCTACCACAGCCATCCCAGAACCTGAGCACAGGTCTAGAACATCATGCTGGCCCCATGTTCTGCCCTGCCATGCTCCAGTCCCTGTACATGCCTCATCCCAGTGAGCACCTGCCTTTCTGACCTAATAAACTCTTCTCCATTACACCTACATATATCCTTTTCCTCTCCGTGAGTGGTGGTATCAGGGCCTGTGGTTAGGGTGCAAAACATCAGATCTACTGGGGACTTCTAAGCATACCACCCTGTGATCTTTCAGCAGTGAAGAAGCAAGAGAGCACAAAATCAGGGACCTGGAGAGTACTGGGGCAGCCACCTCCACTCCTAGCTAAAGTCTCAACTGGCCACCTGTTCCCCTTGCTCCTCCTCTATGTTCCACCACTACACACACACACACACACACACACACACACACACACAAAAGTACCAAGTCCCCTCCTCCAGCAAAAGGCTCAACTCTGTGGTCAACCAATAAGGTGGGCTGGCTTTGCTGAAACTCATTCCCACAACCTCCTCTTCCACAACTCCCACACCCCTCCTTCCTGAGTGGGGGTCCCAGGGAATTTGTGAATAGAGTGTTCCATTGACTATAGGATGCTGCTGATCACAGGTGTACTCTGGTGGCCTTGGAGGCTACCCCTCCATCCTCCTCCCAAGATCCTGCTACCATAGCTGACACAAGACCTTAGCTACCACACCCTGGGATTCACCATGCAGCCACACCACATGACCCTTCCCCCCACCACTGCTCTCAGCAATTGACTGAGTACAGCAGAGGTCCTAGATCAGGGCCATCCTGTTGGATACAGGTCTCCTCACAGGCCCTCTTTCTCAACAACACCATGTGGATCTGTCTAGGGCTTCTCAGACCAGCACCGTGGTCTGAGACTCTCTCCACCCAACTCTCTTTCCTTCTCCTCTCCTTTTGTGCATGTTAAATCTACATTCCTGTTTTGGGCTCTTCACACATGCTGCTGTTACCTCCCTCTTTACATTTCATGGACATCTTCCCCCAATAAACTCTTCTACATCTAACCTGGTCTTGGCATCTGCTTCTTGGAGGATCCAAACTGATTTGTGCACCATTATCTTTTGTACCACTAAAAAAGTGAGATTTAGAAAACAAACCAGAAAAACCCACTACCAATTACACTATGACACAATGCTCAATCGATACTCTTACATGAAAAAAATTTGTACCATCTTTTTGTCTTGAAATTACTTCAATCTATTCTGAGACATTTGGCAATCTCTTCTGTTGCATATCTCCATTAAAAAGTATAATAGCCTTATCTATTTATTACTTGAGGCTGTCATCTTTTCTCACATTCTGCAAAGAACTTACTGTTTAAAAAAATATTTAGCATTATAATCATTCCTCCAACAATGAATAAACACTTCACCAGTATCAAGTTACAGTCTGCCGGTCTGATTCCACACTTTTCGACATAAACAATAATTTTTCATTTTAAAGATGAATTGTATTGAAATTATTTGAAAACATTTTAAACTGCAATAAAGTCAATACCTATACCAAAGAAAAAAACCAAACTCACTGCTGTTGAGTCAGATCCAATTCATAGCGACCCCTCCTTGGGTTTCCAAGGCAGTATCACTACGGAAGTAGATCCGCCCAATCTTCCTTCTGAGGAGTGGCTGGTGGATTTGAACCACCAGCCTTCTGGTGAGCAGTCAAATGTCTTAGGCACTATGCTAACAAAGCTCCTGCACATCTATTCTGGGTCTTAACCTATGGTAGACTGCATCAATGGTCCAATTCTCTACCCCTCCCTGTGGCCTTGCTGCCCCTCCTATGGGAAGTGAAGCACATTTCCCAATCCTTTGATTCAGTTTGGCCATGAAGTTTCCTTTGTTGTTGTTGTTATGTGCCGTCAAGTCAGACCTGACTCATAGCGACCCCTCCTTGGGTTCTCAAAGCAATATCACTACAGAAGTAGATTGCCCAACCTTTCTTCCGAGGAGTGGCTGGTGGGTTTGCACCGCCAGCCTTCTGGTTAGCAGTCAAGTGCCTTAGGCACTATTGTGTTGTTGTTGTATGTGCGGTCCAGTCGGCCCTGACTCATAGCGACTCCTCCTTGGGTTGCCAAGGCAGTGTCACTACGGAAGTAGATTGCCCAACCTTCCTTCTGAGGAGTGGCTGTTAGTCAGTGGGATATCAGCAAACATACCACGAGGCTTAAAAGCACTTGTGTAATTGGGCGTGTTCTCCTCTTGTGCCTCTGCCATCATCATGAGAACATGTCTAGGCTTGTCTGCTGGAAGATGAGAGATGCCTGGAGCAGAGCCAATCACCCAAGTCATCCCAGCTGAGGCCATCCTAGATCAGCTGACAGCCTGCTAAGCCCAGACACATAAGCAAACCCAGCCACAATCCGCAAAGCTGCCTCTTCAACCACACCAAAGATGTAAGCAATGAATGCTCACAGTTTATGCCACTGAGGTTTGTGGGCTTTTGTTATGTGGCCACATTTAAATGATTTCACAGTTGCTAAAGCATGAAAGTATGTGCCTCTTAGAACTGATGACATATGGTATTTCCTTCCAAGATAGTGCTATAGTAAATAAGAAATTTTGGCCAAAGTAAAACAGAGTAGAAAAAATGTAATAAAGCCAGAGAAGAGATTAAGACCTAATATGATAACAAGGAACATTTGGTACCATAGGGCAGGGGTCACACACGCACACACTGCCGTCCAGTCGGATCCGATTCATAGTGACTCCTTCTTGGGTTTCCGAGGCAGTATCACTACAAAAGTAGATTGCCCAACCTTCCTTCCAAGGAGTGGCCAGTGGATTTGAACCTCCAGCCTTCTGGTTAGCTGTCATATGCCTTAGATTGCCTGAAAAGCAAATTAAACATGGGCTTAATTATGCATACAATGTTCTGAAGCCCATGTGAAATTGTTCACTACAGATTAGTAAATAAGCACAAATTGTACTCCATCCCTGTCAGGGATCATAAATTTGAAAAGAGATTTTGATTTTGTAGGAAGGTGCTGTGGGTTTGGGAGAGACTGATGCCTGCCATACCTAGAAGTAGAATCTTGGATGTGGTGAAAAGAAAGTGAAATTGTTCACTACCAATTAATAATTAAGCATAGGTAAAGCTGTGCTTAGGGAGCTCTGGTAGCATAGTGGCTAAGGCACTTGACTGCTAACCAGAAGGCTGGCGGTTCAAACCCACCAGCCACTCCTCGGAAGGAAGGTTGGGCAATCCTACTTCCGTAGTGATACTGCCTCGGAAACCCAAGGAGGGGTCGCTATGAGTCGGGGCCGACTCGACGGCACATAACAACAACAACAACAAAGCTGTGCTTACTTTGCTTACTGGGTAATCCAATGCTGCCTGGGCTAGGCTTAGAATGTGAGAAACATTTCTTCACGGAGTCTTGTAAGAGGACCCAGTGTGAGCAAGGTTATACCTCCACACCATACCCTTGCCCCGCGGCCTACAACAACTCCCAGCCTCACAAAGAGAGTATACTGCCCAAGCTCCAGTGCTTTGCTCCCTGAATCTAGGGACCATGATCCACTTTGCCTAGGAATTTTTTTTTGTTGGTAGTTTTATTATGACCTGTTCAATTTCTTCTTTTGTTACTGATCTTTACAAATTTTCCACTATTTTTTTGATATATTGTTGGATTATATTGACCAGAATTTTGTTGAGGAATTTTGTTGAAGATTTTTGCGTCTATATTCATGAGGGATACTGGTCTGTAATTTTCCTTTTGTAGTTGTGACTTTGTCTGGTTTTGGTATCAGGGTTTTGCTAGCTTCATAAAATGAATTTGGGAGGATTCCATCCTTTTCTATGCTCTGGAATAGTTTGAGTAGGATTGGTGTCAGTTTTGGGAATGTTTGGTAGAATTGTCCTGAGAAGCCATCTGGGCCAGATGTTTTTTATTGGTGTTTTTTTGTTTGTTTGTTTTTAATGACCTGTTGAGTTTCTTCTTTTGTTATGGGTCTGTTCAAATTTTCTACCTCAGTCTGTACTAGTTTAGGGAAGTAGTGTGTTTCTAGAAATCTGCCCATTTCTTCTGGGTTTTCAAATTTGTTGGCGTATAGTTCTTCATAGTATCCTGATACTATTCTTTTTATTTCTGCTGGTTCTGGTCTTTGGTCACCCCCTTTCATTTCTTATTCATGTTATTTGCATCTTCTCCTTCTTTTCCTTGTTTAATTTGCCAGAGGTTTGTTGATTTTATTAATCTTTTCAAAGAATCCACTTCTAGTCTTGTTGATTCTTTCTATTGTTTTTCTCTTTTCTGTTTCACTTATTTCTGCTCAAATTTTTTTCTCATATTTGGAGATATTGAGTTAAGGTGGTAATTTTGACTCTTTTATCTTTTTTTATATGTGCACCTATTGCTATAAATTGTCCTCTGAGCACTGCTTTTGCTGTGTCTCAAGGATTTTGGTAGGTTGTGCTTTCATTCTCGTTTGATTCCAGAAATTTTTTAATTTCATTTTTTTCTCTCTTCTATTATCCACTCTCTCTGGTAGCATAGTGTCTAAGGTACTTGACTGCTAACCAGAAGGCTGGCG